AATTTCCTCAGAAAACTAAAACTGGAACTTGCCTTTTGACCTGGCAATCCCACTGCTGGGATTATACCCTAAGAATACTGAAACACCAATTCGAAAGAACCTATGCACCCCAACGTTCATAACAGCACAATCAACAAAACAACATAAAAGCAAAATATAACCAGAGACATTGAAATGAAGAACCAACTGATTAACCAGAGGGGTGTGGGTAGAGGATAATGGAGGGGTAAAAGTGAAGGGCTGTCAAGGAACATGTATAAAGGGAATATGGACAAAGCTAAAGAGGGGTAGAATGGAGGGTGTGGTGAAGCGATGTGGTGAGGGGAAAATGGAGACAACTATACTTGAACAATAAAAAAATGAAAATAAAAACAAATCAATAAAAGGAAAAAAGAAACAATAGCCAGCAACCTTTTCAAAAATAAATAAAATATGATTTCTTTTAAGAGCAGCTCTACGCATAAAAAGGTAAAAAACAGATTTGTCAGCAAAGATGGAAAGAGTGGGAAAGAAAGAATTTTTAAAAACCTCAAAGGTGGAAGAGTTTGAGGCATTAACTGCATATTCTCAGAGCTGAGCTCAATGCCAGGCACACAGCAGACACTCAATAAGTATCTGTGGAAGGTACATCAGATAGCTCAATTCTAATGATTCCACATTTGCAAGCCAGTAAGGGTTTTCATCTAACCCTTTCTGAAACATTTTAATTTTGAAGACTGACAAAAAGACCAATTATCTTAACTTACAAAGAAATAGGAAAATTTAAGTTTAACTATACTACCAAAAGGATATTTGATAATAAGATTTTGAAAAAGGATAACACTTTAGAAACAAAAAGTTTACAATATACATATACTTAGCTTGAGAACATTGAGTAAAGTATAAATGAAACGCCATTAAAATAAGTCAATATTTGAAGAGATCCCAGATCATCCATATAAAAATATTATCAGATATTAAGGATGTTCACAAATTGTTTTTTAAAAGGGGAATGTGTACAAGTGAAAGAGCTCAGTTCCACACAAGATGATAAAGTAAGAAAAGTTAGAACATCAAAATTACAACTAAACTGTAAAACAACCATCACTCAGAACTGTCAGAAATCAAGTTAAAAGGAAATCCAACAACTACAGAATAAAGAAACCACATCCATCCAGACTGGTAGGAGGTGCAGATATGTGGAAAGGGCTGGTCCCACATCCAAGTGTGGTAGATAACAATTCGGGACGGATATCTTGGGAGTGAGGAGTCCCAGTCCAACACCAGGCTCCCCAGCTCAGGGTTCCATTGCCAGGAAGATAAGTCCCCATAATTTCTAGCTGCAAAACCCAGTGGGGATTGACTCAGTGGAAGAAACTGCTAGAGTCCAAGCAGTTCCTCGTGAAGAAACAACACACAGACTTACAATCACTCCCTTTGAGCTCCAGCATAAGGGAAGCAGCTTGAAAGGTACCAGGGGCACACAGGGAGGAACTGAAGTGTCTGGCATCAATGGGAGAGCTGGGGGACAGCTTTCTCCCAGACAGAAAGTCCAACAGAGGCCACTGTCCCTTTTCTGAACCCTCCCAACACAGAACCAGCAGGCAAGTGCCATATCAGAGATTCCATCAACCTGGCTAACACTGTTTGCCCTGCCCTGGAGATGCCCTCCCAACTTAGGGACCCACCCAAGCTCTTAACAATGATCTTTCCATATGAACAGCTGATCTTGGTTCCTGCTTCCCAAATCCTATCAAATAAGCAATAGCAGACCTCGGTGAGGCAGCAGCCCTTGGACCCTTTGCTAAGGGTTCCAGGCCCAGCACTAGCAGCAGCCAACCTAGGTTCACAGTTTGGCTTCACTTAGACACCTCCAAGCCCAGCACAAGTAGCGACCATCTCAGAGGCTTTACAGCTCAGGCAGGGTGGCCCTAGGCAGAACACAGATCAGGGCTGACCTTGGCCTGCACCACCCAGGAAACCCCAGAGCCTGTGCACCGTTTGCACAACTACAGACCACTTCAGAGCAACACCACCCTGCCCCAGCACAGCTGATCCTCTACACAGGGCAGAGGTTGGAGGTCAGAGGTCACAGCCAGTCCTTACACCTGACTGGTCTGGCTAAATCACTCCAATTGACCTGCCAGTAGCAACCAAGGCTTAACCACAAGAGGAGGGTGTACTCAGTCCACACAAAGGGCACACCTCGAGTACCAAACCTGAATGATAGGGAAGGCTGTGCCACTCAACCCTACAGGACACCAATTACATTAGGCCACACTACCAAGACCAGGAGTCATAGCAGCTCTACCTAATACACAGAAACAAACACAGAGAGGCTGCCAAAACCAGAAGAAACATGGCCAAAATAAAGAACACATCAAAACTCCAGAAAAAGAGCCAAACAAAATGGAGATAAGCAATCTATCAAATGCAGAGTTCCAAACACTGGTTATAAGGATGCTCAAAGAACTTAGTGAGGACCTCAATAGCATAAAAAACATCCAGTCAAAAACAAAGGATACCCTAATTGCAATAAAGAACAATTTACAGGGAAAAAAACAGTCGAGCAGATGAAGCCGAGAATCCAATCAATGATTTGGAACATAAGGAAGAAAAAAACAACCAATCAAAACAACAAGAAGGAAAAAGAACCCCCAAAAAAGGAGAACAGTACAAGCAGACTTGGGGACAACTTCAAGAGGTAGAATATTTGCATCATAAGGGTGCCAGAAGGAGAAGAGAAAAGCACAAGAAATTGGAAACCTATTTGTAAAAATAATGAATTAAAACTTCCCTAATTTGGTGAAGGAGACAGATATACAAGTCCAGGAAGCACAGTGAATCCCAAATAAAATGAACCCAAAGTGGCCCACTCTAAGACACATCATAATTAAAATGCCAAAGGTTAAAGATAAAAAGAGAATCTTAAAAGCAGGAAGAGAAAATAAGTTACTTACAGGAGACTTCCCATAAGACTGTCAGCTGATTTCTCAAAAGAAACTTTGCAGGCTAGAAGGGATTGGCAAGAAATATTCAAAGTCATGAAAAGCAAGCACCTATAGCCAAGAATGCTCTACACAGCAAAGCTATCATCTAGAACTGAAGGGCAGATAAAGAGCTTTCCAGACACAAAGAAACTAAAGGAGTTCGTCATCACCTAACCATTATTATATGAAATGTTAAGGGGACTTATTTAAGAAAAAGGTTGCCAGATGGGAGGGAGCTGTGGGGGAATATGTGAAAGGTTAGGGAATTAAGTACAAATAGGTAGTTATACAATAGCCATGGGAATGTGAAGTACACTATGGGAGATAGAGTAGCCAAAGAACTTACACACATGACCCATGACACAAATAATGGTGTGGGGATTGCCTGAGGAAGTGGGGGATGCTGTGTAGAGGGAGCCAAAGGGATATCAACTGGAACAACTATAATAACATAATCAATAAAATATAATTTTTTAAAAAGTGAGAGTACTTCTTTGTGGGAAAACTGCAGGCATTTGGGCAGCATAATCCTTCGTGGAAACAGACTGTCCAGCCCTGGCTGGGGTGGCTCAGTGGATGGAGTGCCAGCTTGTGAAGCAAGCAAGGAGTCTCTGGTTCAATCCCCAGTCAGGGCACATGCCTGGGTTGCAGGCTAGCTCCCCAGCAGTAGGCGTACAAGAAGCAACCACACATTGATGTTTCTCCCTCTCTTCCTCTCTATCTCCCCCCTCTCTAAAAAAAATAAATACATAAAATCTTTAAAAAAGAGAGAAAAGAAACGAGACTGTCCAGTAAACTGTAAGATGTTTAGCATCTCTGCCCCCTATCAAATAAACCAGTAATGTCTCCAGTCACTGTGACAACCAAAAGGGCCCACACATTTTTAATCACTCCCTTGAAGTGTTGCCCCACTCCATTCCCCCTGCCCTGCTCCAGTGGCAACTAGCCAATTCTGTAAAGGAAGAACTTAAAATATAAGAATAACAACACAGAGCACTGGCTGGTGTGTCTGAGTGGATTTAGTGCCAGTCTGCGAAAGAAAGAGTTGCCAGTTCAATTCCCAGTCTAGGGCACATGCCTGGACTGTGGGCCAACTCCATAGCAGGGGGTACACGAGAGGCAACCATGCATTGATATTTTTCTCTAGCTTCTCTTTCTCCCTCCCTTCCCTTCTCTCTAAACATAAATAAATAAATAAAAACTTTCCCCAAAATGCAAATAAAAAGAATAACAACATAGAATGTTTAGAAAGAATTGCTGTTAACTTAAGTCTACACCAGAAAACCAAGTTATAAAATAACGTACTTGTGATTTTGTCTATAGAAGTGCTTATCACATAGAACTATAACATGAGGCATATATGTAATTTTGAATTAGCCACATTTTAAGAGAATTAAAAAACAGGTGAAATTCATTTATATAATAATATACTCTATTTAACCCAATGCAGCCAAAAAAGTTTTAATATATAGTGAATAATATTAAATATTAATGACATATTATCACTAACATGAAGTTTTCTTCATACTGTCTTTGAAATCTGGTGTGTATTTTACACTAAACAGTGCATCACAATTCAGACTGGCAACTTTTCATGTGCTCAACAGCTACATGTGGCTAGTGATTAGCATACTGGACAGTATATATAGGTCTATAGCAGGGCTGGCAAAGTATGACCCACAGACAAATCTAGTCTACAGTTTAACTTTGTCAATAAAGTTTTAATGGAACACAGCCACTCCCATTCCTTTACATATCATCTATGGTTGCTTTTGGGCTACAAGGGCAGAGCTGAGTAATCATGACAAAGATCCTATAACCCACAAAGCCTAAAATATTTACTATCTGGACCTTTACAGAAAAAGTTTGCCAACTGCCAGACTAGTGTTTTCAAAAATGCCCTGTGAATAGAGGATGCCTTTGGTTTACTGTGGAATGAAACTGCTGCTTTATTTACTGCCTCTCTTTCCTAAAAGTGATCTTAGTAATTTATACTTGTCCACTCCAATAATCAGTAATACAGGCTCTTACCAGAAAGATAATCTGGCCCAGGTCACCCATAGGACGAAGATGCATGGTATCATATGTATCACACCGGTAGGGTATGATCACTTGTGACCCCATACGTCCTAAAAGAGAATGGATTGAACCAAGGATCAATGTTAACATAATATAAATACATTATATGACAGTTATTTAGTATTTTGCCATGTTAGAGACGTCATAACTTTGCAGTCCTCAATAAACATACTATATAGGAAGTATAAGGAATCATGGATGTTCTCACAATGCACAGTAGACCAAAATTACATAAATCCAAGATATGAATCATTTGGAACACTGCTAAAATGAAAAGAAACATAGCTCATGGCTTCTCATTACATGACCTTAATAAATGGTACCAGAGTATACAAAACTCCAGGAACTTTACTTACCAAGATGGTTGACAACATATCGGCCCAGGTATCCTGTTGCTCCAAACACAGTGGCCACGACCCCACTGACTGAGGAACGGCCCCCCTTCCCATGAGGTATGAGTGCATGATGAAGATGGCGCTGGGGTGGGCCAAGAAACACAGATGTGGCTAATGCAGTAATAGAAGAACCTTAAATGAAAGCCCAGAATATACAAAAATGAAAAATGTTAATATAAAATGACTATGAATACAAATAGCTTCTTTTCCTAGATAACTGTAACATTATTTTGCTATCAGTATTTTCATTAACTTAAAGTTCAACTTTTGAATTAAAAGTTGTAATTTAGCCCTAGCTGGTGTAGCTCAGTGGATTGAGCATGGGCCTGCAAACCAAACAACTGCAGTTCGATTCCCAGTCAGGGCACATGCCTGGGTTGCAGGCCCGGTCCCAGCAGGAAGGGGAACCCTGTGGTTGCACAGGAGGCAACCAAACACTGATATTTCTCTCCCTCTCTCCTCCCCTTCTCCTCTAAAGATAAATAAATAAAATCTTTTTTGAAAAGTTGTAATTTAAGTGCCAACAACAGCAATAATAAACTCGAACTATTACAACAAAGACTCTAGAACATATGGAAATACGTAAAAAGTAAAGTCCCTGCCCTATAGGATGAGATTTGCCTAGGAAGATGAATCACACTAAAACAAAACATTACAGTTACAACTTAAGACAATATAAACCTCTACAGTGAAAGGAACTGAAGGAATTTAAAGTAATAAGTTAGATAATCATAAAGAAAGAGTGCAGGATAAAGTGTTTTGAGAAAGGCTTTAAAGAATAATAACAAGAAAGAATAAATTTCCATGAGAAACACATTAACACATTCAAAAATAGGAATGAATAAGACCAGTACAGAGTATAGCAAAAGACTTACTTGGAACAGACTTCAAAATTGATGATGAAAGAAAAATAAAACTGATAACAAGGGCTGCAGAGAGAGGATTATTAGTAGACAACATTTCTTTTTTAAAGAGTGCAACTTAGACTTAATATAAAACTATTGAAAATCATTAAAAGTAGGTAAGTAACAAAGAAAGAAAGTCTGTTTGTTTTCTAGGAATGGCTTTCCAGTGGCACTTTTCCCAGAAACCACTGTTTCTTTTCCTATTCAAAAGTATGGAATTGGAGAAAAAGCCTAGCTTACTAAAACCAGAGATTAAAAACAAACATTGCAGGGCCAAGATGGAGGCATAGGCAGACACGCTGTGCCTCCTCGCACAACCAAAAAAAAGACGACAACAATTTAAAAACAAAAACAACCAGAACTGCCAGAAAATCAAACTGTATTGGTCTGACAACCAAGGAGTTAAAGAAGACATATGCACCCAGACCAGTAGGAGGGGGTGAGACAGGCAGCCCTAGCAGGACCCAGTGAGGCAGCACATTTCCGACTGGGCAGTCCCACATTCCCACTCAGATAAAGTGGGAGAAACTCCTGGGGAACAGGATGGACTGCACAAGCCAGGGCTCCAGCATGGGAAAATACAGCCTCAAACCACTGATTGAAAACACGTATGGGGGTTGAGGCACTGGGAGAAACTCCCAGCCTCACAGGAGAGTTTGTTGGAGAGACCCACAGGGTTCTAGAATGTACACAAACCCACTCAACCCCCACATGAATCAGCACCAGAAGGGCCCAGTTTGCTTGGGGGAAGCCAGAGAAGTGACTGAAATCCGGCAGAGAACAGAGCAAGCGGCATGTTCCCTCTCGGACCCCTGCCCCACATACTGTGTCACAACACAGTGACAGGAGTTACCCTGCCTGGGTGAATACCTAAGACTCTTCCCCTCCCTATGCAACTGGAGCATTAAGACAAAAAAAAATTGCCCAAATGAAAGAACAGATCAAAGCTCCAAAAATATATAACTAAGTGATGAAGAGATAGCCAACCTATCAGATGCACAGTTCAAAACACTGGTTATCAGGACGCTCACAGAATTGGTTGAATTTGCTCACAAATTAGATAAAAGAATGAAGGCTAAGCTAAGTGAAATAAAGGAAAATGTACAAATGTAATGCACAGGCGACAACATACAAAGAACCAATAGTGACAGGAAGAAAACTGGGACTCAGATCAACAGTGCAGACCAGAAGGAAGAAAGAAACATCCAACCAGAAAAGAATAAAGAAACAAGAATTCAAAAAAAAAAAAAAAAAACGAGGAGAGGCTTAGGAACCTCCAGGACATCTTTAAATGTTCCAACATCCAAATTACAGGGGTGCCAGAAGGGAAAGAGGAAGAACAATAAGTGGAAAACTTATTTGAACAAATAATAAAGGAGATTTTCCCCATTCTGGCAAAGGAAATAGACTTCTAGTAAGTTCAGGAAGCTCAGAGAGCCCAAAGAAGTTGGACCCAAGGAGGAACACACCAAGGCACATCATAGTGACATTACCCAAGTTTAAAATGAAGGAGAGAATCCCAGAAGCAGCAAGAGAGAAGGAGACAGTTACCTACAAAGGATTTCCCATAAGACTGCCAGCTGATTTTTCAGAAGAGACCATACAGGCAAAAAGGGGCTGGAAAGAAGTATTCCAAGTCATAAAAGGCAAAGACCTACATCCAAGATTACTCTATCCAGCAAAGCTTTCATTTAGAAAGGAAGGGCAGATAAAGTGCTTCTCCGGTAAGGTCAAGTTAAAGGAGTTCATCATAAGATGAACTTATTATATGAAATGTTAAAGGGATATATCTAAGAAAAAGAAGATAAAAAATATGAACTGTAAAATGACAGCAAACTCACAATCATTAACAACCACACCGAAAACAAAAACAAAAGCAAACTAAGCAAACAACTAGAATGGGAACAGAACCACTGAAATGGAGATCACGTGGAGGGTTAGCAACAGGAGAGTGGGAGGGGGAGAGAGGAGGGAAAGGTACAGAGAATTAATAACATAGATGGTAGGTAGAAAATAGACAGGGGGAGGGTAAAAATAGTATAGGAAATGTAGAAGCCAAAGAACTTATATGTACAACCCATGGACATGAACTAAAGGGGAGGGGGGAATGTGGATGGGAGGGGTTGTGCAGGGCAGAGGGGAATGAAGGGGGGAAAATGGGACAACTGCAATAGCATAATCAATAAAATATATCTAAAAAATAAATAAAAACATTGCAGATCAGACACACAGTAACAAAATAATAATAGCTAAATTTACAAAGCTCTTACCAGGTGATTCATATTGTTGTAAATGCATAATAACTATTATCTTACTTAATGTTATCTTTACTGGCACTTCACAGATTAGAAACTAAGGCTCAGAGTGGTTGAGTGACTAGCCTAAAGAGTCAACCAAGAAGATTAAAAAGCAGCCCAGTGAGATAAGAGAAAAATTAAAAGAAAATGGTATACAGAAACCAAATGCAAAAAAGAGATCAGCAGAATACAACAGCCCCCTTTACACTCAGGGACTATGTTAAAAGACCTGCAGTGGATACAGGAAACCAGAGACAGTACCAAACCCTGCATGAACTACTGTTTTGTTTTTTCCTATATATACATAGCATTTCATTTACTGGAGGCACTTTATGGTTGCTCTCTGTTGTATCCTAACCGCCAGCATTACTACTCTTGCTCTTTGGGGACAGTATTAAGTAAAATAAGGGTCACTTTGAACACAAGTACTGCAATACCCTGACATTCAATCTGATAACTAAGATAGCTAATGAGTGGGTAACTTTATAGCATGAATACGCCGGACAAAGGGATGAGCCACACTGTGACAGGACAGAGTAGGTTGGCATGAGATCTCATCTGCTACTCAAAATGATGTGAAATTTAAAACTTATGAATTGTTTACTTCTGGAATTTTCCACTTACTATTTTCAGACTGCAGTCAACCAGGGTAAGCAACACTATGGAAAGCGAACTATGGATAAGGCGCAGGTTCTATGGGAGTTAACTCTATCAAAAGATGCTGAAAGTAAAGTAGCATGATGACAGAGAGCCAAATGGTCTGGAAAATGTTAGTTGTAAATGGCCTTAACAAGAGTAATTTTTTTGAAATAGTGGGAATGAAAGCCTGCATGGACCAGGCAAAAGAAAGAATGTGAAGCGAGGAAGTGGTAGGAGAAGTACTGAGAATCTTTTGAAGATATGATATAAACAGACAAAGAAAAAGAGGACTAGAGTAATATGCAGATAAGCAAGACTTTAAAAAAAATAGATATTAAAACATTAATAAGCTGAAGGAAATGACCTAGTAGAGAAAAATTATGACTCAAGAGAGGGAATGAATAGATGAGAGGAGGGGATCGAACGCAAGTCAAAGGAACTGGCCATAGATCAGAGCAGAAGGAGCTCATCTGGAGGGAAGACGGAAAATTATCAAGGGTCAGTTACTAGATATTTATAGTGGGAAAAAGAGAAATCTGATTCCTCTGGAAAGCAGACAATGAAACCTAAAGCAATTGTTTCCAAACATATTTCTTTGCATACGACAGTATTTTTAAGCATTTACTTACAAATTTACAAAGTACATATGTGTTCTATGTACTACCAATATTACACACATTACAAAACATCTATTAAAACAGTGTACATAGTTTGAATGACATTGTGTTAGCTATTGTTATTACTACAGAAAATGTTTTTTAAAGTTCTAATACTATATTTTAGTATTGCATTATTCTTGCAAAACCCACTTTGGAGACCACTGGTCTAAAACTCTACTTGGCTTTCAAAGGCCTCTATTATTTAAGCCCATGTAACATATTCAACTTCCTTTCCTGCTATTCCAGATCTACAGGTAGTCATTTCACTGCCTCCTAAGTACCTCATGATTCCACTCTCATGCCCCGGCCTTTCCAGTGAGAGGGTAATGTCCAACCTCTCTGATTTTCAAGATCATAACAACCCTCAAAAAATCAGTGGAAGAACTGCAGTTCTTCACTGGTCTTCTAGTCTTCCCTCACAGCTTCAAATGATGCCAATCATTCCCTTTTCTGATTTCCTATGGTACGTAATAGTCTCTCCACATTTCACTTTATATCCTTGTTTTACACAATTCTGTTCTATAGTGTTTTGTTACACACTAGACTTGTCTCTTGAGAGTAAAGCTTTATGATTAAGACAATACAATATTAAAAAAAGTAAGTTAGCCCTGGCTGGTGTAGCTCAGTGAATTAAGTGCAGGCCTGTGAACCACACAATCAAGGTTCGATTCCCAGTCAGGACACATGCCTGCGCTGCAGGCCAGTTCCCAGCAGGGGACTCATGAGAGGCAACCATACACTGATATTTCTCTCCCTCTCTCCTTCCCTTCCCCTCTAATGATAAATAAATAAAATCTAAAAAAAAAAGTCAGTTAAAGAGAAAACAAGTATAAATACATCTAAAACTGTGATCAACAGATAGCAGGTATATATGAATTTTAAAACTACAACTTTTGGAGGTTCATTGGTGTTGGCGAAGGACAAGAAGGTGAGAGAAGGACGATGAAGTGTAACTGGATTCAATTTCCTTTGCTTTTCTAGCCTCTCTTACGGAGTGGAAAAGCAAGTGTATGTTTTCAACCTGAGGACCACGATAGTAGATCTAGTAAGAATAGAAGGTTAAATGAACAACGCTTACACAAATATTTACTTCTCTTCCCTTTCCTTTCTATCAAGCCCCTAATTCTTCTCTCTCCAAGCATCCCTTGCTTCCCGAGTCCCAAGCACCTCGGCCTAAAACCCTCCACATCTATACAGTTGCTTCTGATTTAGAGTGCTTTTATAAATACCACTTCATTAATCTTTTCAGAAACTCCCTGACATTGTGATATTATCATTTCCAACGTGACACGAAAAATCTTGAGACCGATTAAGGGTTTGCACAAGGTCATAAGGTCGACCTATGAACAATCTTCTCTCCACTGCCTTTTTATTCCCTCCCTTTCAGATTCCTCTCCCCGGCTCCCTGCCCCCACATAAATGTTTCTCAGAACCCCAAACCCTCACAACCCTATGGGAAACTGATTCTCTTGATTCCTTACACGTCCCACACTTTCTCCTCTTCCCTTCCTGTTGCTTACGTTCTCTCAGTGCAGACCCCTTCCCAAAGGCACATTTTAATATGTGAATCGGGAAAGCGTTAAAGAGAAGCTACCGAGGCAGGTCCGGCCTTAGAAAAATGAAGGTATCCAGAGAGTCAGGGTGACCACTGCAGTACGGCACCACTCCCAAAACTTTCGACCCCCGACTTGGAATCCCAACCTGGAACCTACATTACTAGTGACACTTACGTGACATTGGCAGAGCCCGGACAAGCAACGGGTGAAAGGCAGCCGCCATCTTCTCCCACAATCCCCGCCGCCAGCGTTCCGACTAATTACGGCTACGAGGCAGGGTCAAAAGTATTCGTCCCTGAGAGTCTGCGCAGGCGCTAAGCGGGAAGTAAAGGGGTGGATCGGAAACTAGAGTGTGACTGTGGTCTGGAAGAAGAGAGCAAATCGGAAGGGTTCGCGCTCCGAAGGAAAGGGGGAAGTAAAAAGGAAAGAATTCTCGCCTTCCGGGAAAGATTGTAAAGACCATCTCGTCACCGAGGAACTAGTTCAACCAGTAACTGTCTCAAGGGCATACAAAATGGCAGAACCCGAGCTCACCGTTTCTGCCTCTCAGTTCATAATTTCGTGAAAATATCAGAGAAGGAAGCCCTGGTGAGACTAGGGGAAGGTGGAGGCGTGGCCCCTGAACTCCGGACATTCTTAAAGGAGATAACTAGGGTACAGGGGAGAGGTTGTACAAGGAAGAAGTGGGGCGGGGATGCAAAGACAAAGGGAGAGAAATAGAAATGAGGATATGCACGTCGAATTCATCAACGTACACTCTCTATTCTCTCCTCGAAGCCACTTTTTCTTACTGTTCTCTTTCCTGGCATGCTGACTCAAATGTCTGCATCAGCTCAGGTCTGCTGTATGGAAACCTAAGAGAAGACTTCTCTGACATCTTATCCAAGGTGGTCATCATTCCAACTGTCTTTTATTACTATTTATTTATCAAAGCACTTATCACCACCTGTCCTATAAGCCCAGGGATTCTTAATCTGCAGTGTGATTCATGAGTGAACTTCAAGAAATCTATGAAATTCCTGAAATGTTATGTAAAATTTGGTAGACATGTATGGTATCTGCACACTTTTCTAGGAAGTCAAGACGGCCGTCTCTGGAGCAATGTCTTGTTCTGTTTTACTTTGCATTGGTTTTGTTTGTTTGTTTTAACTATGGTCTCCTTTAATAATCTGCATGATTTTAGAGCCTGGGGAAATTCCAGAAAGATTAGACAAAACACTTGCGGTTTTAAATAGGTTATTCTGTTCAACTTTCAAGGTCCCTGAGTAGGAGCTGGCAACCAGCAACCTGTCCTGGGACACCTACCTTGGGCTTATTAGAAATGAACGAATTTAGGGAACCTTTCCAAACTTGGTCATTCTTCCATGCTTTGTTGTTTCAGGGAAAAGGGGTGTGCATGCTGGGATGGACAAAAGACCTGTAGTGAGTAGGTTGTCGGTTATTTAGCTTGTAAGATCGGTTGACTCCACTCCACCCCACCCCACCCCCACTTGTTTACTGAAGTGTCACCTACCAAGCTGAATTAGAAGAGAAAACTGAAGAAATTTCATCAGAGAAACTAATGCTGTGCTGTCTCCTATTTCTTGGTCTCATCCCACATTCAATGAACACTTGAAATTTGGTAACATTTGATTCTGGGGTCAGTATAAGTAACATATTTCCTGGTTTTAATAAATTGACAGACCCCTTTTAACAGCAACCTCCTATCACCTATGTAACATCGCCAGTTATGTTATTTTACATCTCCAAGTCAAACACTGCCCTGTGTACTAAATACTAGTTTCAAGGTAACATGATATAGTTGAAAGAGTATTGACTTAAAATTTAGAATATTAGATCCCAGTTTTAGTTCTACCAGTTATTAGTTGTAATCTGAGCAAGATTCTACACCTAACAGGGAAATTAATACTTGCCCTCTTACCTCAAAATATTATGAGGATCAGATAACAATGATATGTAAGTGCTTTGTCAACTGCATAGTGCTATATGTGTATATATGTAGTTTTATTCAAAATCTATATGTAGAAGTATCAAAATTACAGATCGGTTAGAACCGAAAGGGATTGTAGGAGATCAGCATGCCCAGCTTCTTTATTTTAAAGATGGAGAAACTGAGACCGAATATAAAAGGTCACCAATAAATAATCTGTTAGAAAAGGCCTGTAATCAGTCACTTTTGAATTTGTTAACAGTTTTCATCCTTATTTTAAGGGCCTTGGTTGCCCTTGATTGGAGATTCTTTTTGATTCATGGATACTATGGATCAGCCCTATATTTAATCACTAATTAAGAGTACTAAAGGTAACATTTCCAAAGAGAATGTACTACTAATAAAGTCCTCCTCAAGCCTAAAAATTGCCAACCAAATGCCTCTTGGTCTGATTTATTTCCATACAGTTGGAGGTGGAGGTATTGCAGAGGATGTGTGCTACTGTATCTCTGACCATCTAAGATGAATTATAAACCAGAGGTGGTCACTTGAAGCAAAATATCTCAAATTTTATTTTTTTACAAAAGGTAAAATGTTTATAATGAAAAGAGTCTAAACTGGATCCTACAAAATGAAGTGATTCCATGGGCTTTACATAAAAATGTTAGTAGACTCCCCCAATCCTTTTAATTCTTATTCTCTGCATCTATTTGCATTTGTAAATACATCATACTTGCTGTATTGTTTTAAGAGGAAATCCTTTGGCAAAGTTTTCCCCTCCCATATTTCCTACCTAAATTAGACGCTTAAAGAAGAAAATTAATTAGGAGAAAGTTAACCCAGTTCTTCCAAACTATGCATCAGAGTCTTGTAATATATCTTCACTCCCTCCTCCTGTCCTTTGATGACAGAATTTCTGGTAGCCTCACCACTGTTGCTATAGAGACAGTGATATCACCAGTTGTGATTCTGATGTCACTCACCAGTCCTAAAAAGGGGCAGGTACATGGAAGGCTGGAGGAGTAAACAAGATCTTGAGCTGAGCAAGAACATCCCAGCATCTTCATTGACTTTAAAAGTGTATTCTGGAGTCTTCTGTAGTCACTATTCCAGTACTACAAAGGTAGGATACCCCACTGAACTGATAAAACAGCTCATTTTCTGATCCCTGTAGTTATGAGGGAGAATTCATTGACAAGTGATGGGTCTCGCTGCCCAGCCCATTTTAATTTTACATGAGTCTTCTGGAAATATATGAACTTCTCAGTTGGCAGCATTCTAGCTAAACCTACCATTTTTGCTGAAGTTTTTACTTTGTTACAGGTTCACCAGACTAATCCTTTTGGGGATATTCCTGGTTCTTACTCCCTGCTTCTTAGTTTTACAATGAGACTGGAAGCTCAACTCCCTGCTGACTTTTCCTCTTCTTTGTGTGGCTGTTCCAAAAGTTCTTTTCTTTCTAGTGCTCTGATAGCAAAACCAGACTGGTATAGCTCCGAGTCCCAGTTCTCATCCTTTCATCCTCTTGCTATTGTTTCTGAAGCCTTGACTAAATAACAGAACTGGGAAGTAGCAAGATATATAGATAACCATGTTGACAAAGTGTCTCTCCCAATAAGGCATAGAGGAAGGAGCTATTACTAGGGTAGAGTGAAAATCAAGGAGATCCACAGGCAAGTTTAACAGTGATTAGTACAGTTGAGAGAGAGATACACACTTCTAATCCTTATTTAAACAAAACCATTTGAAGCAGATTTCAACAATCTAATTTGTTAGGTGTCTAACAATATGTCAAACTCTTAGGGAATGAGAGGGGAAAAAAAGAGAATTTATATAATAGAAGACATTTCTTTAATAAAACCCAATTAAATTTCAAAACGATTATATATGTATCAACTTTACAAAAGCTTCATGTATTCCACCCGTAATTTCAGATTTCCTATGAACTTAGGAACTTTGAATAAACAGGAGCCTCTTGCTTATGATGAACATAGGAGAAAATGTCTCGAGATAGAGCTAAGGTTTGGGGCACAGCAACTATAATCACATCCCTATGTTGTTTATGCCCTTCCTGGCTGATACAGTCATTTGCATTACTCCTCAATTATTATTGAAGTAATAATTACACTGTTGTTTTTAATGAACATTAAGCTCAGTCCTATAATAGGCTGGAGGATCCCTCTACTGGCCATAGAAAAATTTCATGTTTTCCAGGATGTTAACCTGCAGATCTGTAATATTTAAAGGAATATATCCACTGGTTTTAATATTCCCCTCTCTGGACCTCTGTTTCCTAAATGAGGAAGTGAGAATAAATGGTAAATTTATCTTTACACTGTACATAGTTAGCTTTCTTTTCTCATCAAATTTAATAGATAACACAAAGCAACCTTTTTTATTTTCCACCCTAACTCAAGGACATTATTCACCAACTTTGAAGTTAAGAAATGTATGTATCCATTCATTGGCTAAATTAAACTCTTCATGTTGTGTTTCCTCTTTTCCATTTCCTTATGGAAAATGTATATAGATTTAGAAGTTTAAATGTCATTATAATCAAAAGATATTTGATTACCTCTTTATATATATATATATATATATATATTATATATATATATATATATATATATATATATATATATATATTTAAGCTTCCTAAGTTATCCTGGATAATAGTGTGTATGTACATACACACTATTATCCAGGATAACTTAGGAAGCTTAAAGTTTAAAACAAACTTAGTGGATGCAAATATATATGTAGAAGACATAGAAAAATAGAATAAAAGTATTAGGACATATGTAAGTGAAAATGTTTGCTGGCTATATATGACTAGTTCTATACTTTCTGTTTATGAAAGAAGTACAAGAGCACTTCTGAGATGTTGATTTACTAGTATTACTGGAATAGGAAAGTGTGTTAATAAATCATTGGGTATTTATATCTTAAATCTCCAGGGTGAAATTATCCCTAAAAGGTGTCAAACTTCAAGAAAACCTAATTGTATGGCTTACCACCATAGCAAACTTGCACAATTTTTTTTTTGTTCTCATGTTTTCCAATTTAAGAAAGAAAAATTGAGCTATCTGGAATTAGAAATAAGCAGTATTTGTATGTATTCTTTCTGCACACAATTATGAAATACCAACTTCAAGATACTAGCTACTATGAGGGATACCAAGATGGATAAAAAAAATGCATCTGCCCTCTTAAAGCCAGCCATCTAATAAAGGAGATAGAATATATGATATATGTGAACAATTAAAGTGCTAAGATAATATAAAAATTAAAACAATATTTGATGGAAACTTTGATAATAGAACACTTACATTCAATTTGGTATTTAGAAAGTATTTCATGGATGGGTAAGATTTGACCTGGACTATGAAGCAAGGTGGGATTTACAGGGATTTTTTTAGGGGGCTGGATGTGTATTCCAAGAGAGTACAATACTCTAATGTCTCCTATTTGAACGTCTTAGCAGAGATAATATATGGAAGTCAATTGATCAGGAAGCTCATTATGACATTAACTATTAATTTTCTTGTATAGCATGAGGATGTATATTTCTCTCAAGTTCTTAAAGGAATACTTATAAAATGTTTTGAGATCCATGAATTCAGGGTACTTATTCTCCATTCTGGCTACTTATCTACTGACTTGCTTTTCAAGCAAGTTTGAAGTTAGGCTAAAAACTGTCAGTTTCTTCATTGTTAAATAAGCCTATATATCAATAATTTGAAAGTGGAAAGTAATCATTTCAGAAATTACTGGCCAGAAGATGAAACTCTTTTTTCATCTGGAAACCATCTGACTGCACCAAGAATAAGATCTGGACTTTACATTTGAATGTCATCTTCTGATTATCCCTTATGTACTACATGTGAAAAATAATGAGTCCAAGTCATTATTTGGTAATAAGAGCAATAGGGTTCATATGTAAAAGTAGTCATCTTTGTGTTTTTCCATTACAGATTCCTTATATTACATGGCAGGAGGAGTGGGTAAACTTAGAGATAGTAAAGACAACATCAGATTAATCAAGAGCTTTCTTCATATTGCAGAATCCGTCCTCAGTAAGAGTAAGTGATCACATAATTTCCTTACTTTTGGGTTTTAATTTTCATCCATTTGCATTGTGATATATAGCTTAAATAAATCAGTAGGTACTATTGGTGTAGTCATTTTCTGTTAGAAGTCATTTATTAAGGTGAAACATAAACATTAGTTAAGAGACTTGCATGTCAACATTCCAGGACAGTCCATTTCCAAGACTTATCATTCTTTGGCCAAGTAGTAGTACATCCATTTATTACTTTATAATAATGATTTGGGCATAAGAATATTTACATTTAATAGTAAGCTTCTAAGAGACAGTACGAGGTTTAACTTCATAGACATTAATAGCTTCCTCATTGGGGTTAAAAACAACATTAAAAAAGATAACAAAAAAGGTTATAAATTTCAGAGAAAATTTTTAAAGAAAAGAATATATCATTATCTTTCAGGAGCTAGCCATCTGTCTCAGAGAGGATCTCCCTCATAAGTCCAAACCCAGAGATTCTCAATTCTAGATATGTGTTAGAATCGCCCACAGAGCTTTTAAGAAATTCAGTGCCTAAGTTCCCCTACCTTAAAACCATCAAAATAAGATTTTCTGTGGGGTGGTATCTCAGATTCAGTATTTTTGAAACAGCTTTCTGGGTGATTCTAATCACAGTGGAGAAACTATTTCTTACCCATGGAATTGTATTACAGTGTCAGGAAGAGTAAAGGAAACTGTTTCGTGGGCTCAGTAATCTGAGCCAGTGATTGGGGTGTTAAAAACAAGTTCAGATCCTGTAGGAATAAAGAACAAAATTCAATGTCACTATGAAAAATAGGAGAAGCTTTTGGACTTTATTTTAGCAGAATTTCAGTATATTTGTTAGAATCAAAACATGAATATATGTGTATGTTTCACAAAGATGTTTGGGGATGTTGGGGAAGGAAATATTGGCCATCTTATTTCTATGTTGCTTATTGAAAAAACATAGATCTAAGCAACATTTATAGTGAAGGGCTCTATCAGTGTGGAAGTCTAGTGGTAGAAGTTTGGCACAGAAAAAGGGAAAAGAGAAGCTTCTCATACCTATAGATTATTTTTTTCTTTTTTTTATTTTATTTTTATTTTTTTAAATTGATTATGCTGTTACAGTTGTTCTATTCCCCCCTTCATTCCCCTCCACCCTACCCCCCATCCCCACCATTACCCCCCTTTAGTTTATGACCATGTGTCTCAAGTCCTTTAGATTCTATATTTCCCATGCTATTCTTGCCCCCCATCTATTTTCTATCTACTGTCTATGCTACTTATTTTCTGTACCTTCTCCCCCCTTCTCCTCCTCCCACTCCCCTGTTGCTAACCCTCCTTGAGATCTTCATTTCTATGTTTCCACTCCTGATCTAGCTGTCCTTTTAGTTTGCTTTTGTTTTAGGTGTGGTTGTTAATAACTGTGAGTTTGTTGTCCTTTCACTGTTCATGTTTCTTTAACTTCTTTTTCTTAGATAAGTCCCTTTAACATTTCATATAATAAGGGCTTGGTGATGATGAACTCCTTCAATTTGATCTTATCTGAGAAGCACTTTACCTGTCCTTCCATTCTAAATGAAAGTTTTGCTGGGTAGAGCAATCTTGGTTGTAGGTCTTTGGATTTCATGACTTGGAATACCTCTTTCCAGCCCCTTCTTGCCTGTAAGGTCTCTTTTGAGAAATCTGCTGACAGTCTGATGGGTACTCCTTTGTAGGTGATTGTCCCCTTAGCTCTTGCTGCTTCTAGGATTCTCTCCTTCATTTTAATTTTGGCTAATGTAATGATGATGTGCGTTGGTGTGTTCCTTCTTGGGTCCAACTTCTTTGGTACTCTCTGAGCTTCCTGGATTTTCTGGATGTCTATTTCCTTTGCCAGATTGGGGAAATTTTCCTTTATTATTTGTGCAAATAAGTTTTCCACTGGTGGCTGTGCCTTTCCCCTTTCTGGTACCCCTATAATTCGGATATTGGAGCGTTTAAAGATGTCCTGGAGGTTCCTAAGACTCTCCTCATTTCTTTGAATTCTTGCTTCCTGACTCTTTTCTGTTTGGCCATTATTTGCTTTCTTCTGGTCCACTCCATTGATTTGAGTCCCAGTTTCCTTTTCATCGCTATTGGTTTCCTGTGCAATTCCATTCATTTCAATTAGTTTCGCCTTCATATGTTTGTCTAATTTGTGGCTATAATCAACCAGTTCTGTGAGGATCCTGATCACCAGTGTTTTAAACTGTGTGTCTGAGAGTTTTGCTATTTCTTCATCACTTAGGTCTATGGGCTCTGGGACTTTGAGAACTTGCGACATTTTTGGTCTGTTCTGGCCCTTTAAGTCTGAGAAGCGGTGCCTTGGACTCCCAGGTCGCTGGGTTGTGACGCTGTATGTGGGGGCGTGGTCAGAGCGGGGAAATGGCGGCGCCCTCTACTGCTGCTTGCAGCGGGGACGCCGGCCCGGTCCAACCGCCCACTCCCTCGCCTGTCCGCTGGAGCACAAATAGGCGACCACAGTCAACACGCAGCACTGCTTCCCCGCTGTCTCCTCCGCGGTCGCTTGCCTGGTGGCTCGCTCGGTCACTCACTAGGTCCAACCCTGCGCCTGGATTCCGAGTCTGGATTCCGCGCCTGAGCCCGTCTGACCGAGTCTTCCTGTGCTACCCCGCTCCACCAGCCACTGGTTTCGCCCCTTACCGGTCAGGCTGAAGAATTTGTTGTTAACGGACTTCCGAAAAGTTCAATTTTCCGTGTTCTGGCTGTGATTTCTGTTGCTAATATTTAGTTGTCCCTAAACTTGGTTGTGTGAGAAGGCACGGCACATCCACCTATACCTCCATCTTGGCAGAAGTCCAGAAGAGTTTTAGAGTGTACAGCTCTCTCAGTTGTTGACACGCGTCAGCCGCGCCTCAATCTCACGTGTGAATTCCCGGGTGTTAGGCTCCAGTCCCTGGAGTCTCCGGAGTTGCCCGCGCTTTTCCTAGAAAGCTACGGATCAGACTATAGAGGGTGAGGGCCAGAGTACAGCCAATCCTCTCCAGCGCCGGTGCTCTTCCTGGCCCGACCTCTCCCCGGGCCCAGGTAAACCTGCGGCCCGACTCCTACTTGCCCTTCCGCTGCGACGAACCCCCCACCCCTATAGATTATTAGTGGGAAAATATCATAGTAACTAGTCATGTTCCCAAGGACTAGCAAACAAGATGCAGTGGAAGGTGGATGAGAATAATGCCAAAGGGGTATTTTGAATAAGGTCTGTGATGCTCAGTTGTGAAGTGATAGGACAAAAGCAGCAAGGATAAGCAATTCTTTCCAGAAAAATGGCTGCAAATGACAGAGGTATATAGTAGCAGCAAGAGGGAGGCTTGTGGTGCAAAGAGACAACTAAAATGAATATCAGCTCTCTGGCTTAGAAGACCAGGTTGATGTTGGTGTCGTTACAGAAATTAAAGAATAGAGAAAAGTGTTAGGACAGTTATAAAAGAATCAGTATCAGCAAGGGCATTGCTGCCTCCACCTACAGATGCCCATTGGGTGGTGCATATGACATCTTTCTTCTGCCATTCAGAAGTTTGGCTGAACCAGTGAGACAGAATTTCTCCAGGATCCTTGGCTAATTGGAGGAGAGATTGATATAAGGAAGAACTACTAGACTTACTGCTAATAAAAGTAAGTTAGTGGTATACAAATTAGTGAAAAACAAACTGTATATTACTTTACAAAATAGTTGGTGGGGTGAAAACAGGCGGTGAGAAGTAAATTAACTTTATTTTGATCATGTTGAACTTTGACCATCTACTGAAAATCCAAGATGTTGGAAGGGCTGTCAAACAAGGACACAAGGAGCAGGACATGGCTGCTTAGGTTCTTTCATAAACAAATTTATACTAAGCACCTCTTAATAGCCCAGGCACTGGCTTTAGCAAAACATGTGTAAGAAATCTTTGTACAGTTGGGAGCTAAGGATGAAGATATTCAGAGTTAGCTGAGTTTGAAGTAGCTCTTGGGATAGATCCCTATTGAAAGCATAGATCCTATTTTTCACAACTCAACTATTCACCTTTTTCTCCTTACTTTTATACAACTTGTCCTTCTGATGACCTTTTTTTTTTTCTAGCTCCAGATGTCGGACAGGGTTAACTGGTTACAAAGCCAAAATGGGGTATGCAAAGTTGATGTCTATTCACCCGGAGATAGCCAGCCCCAAGACTGGAAAACGGTAAGTTGTCAACCTCCTTGCAAATACTGGGTTAGCAATATGTGGAGAGCCATTAAGAATAGCCCCATTTTTTCCATCCTACCAGGCACCTATTTTTGAAGACTGACTTCTTGGGAGGAAAAAATGAATTCTTTAAGGATAAAAAATTTGCATCTATAATATTTGGAATATATTCCTATAGTATGGTATTTATTAGGAGAAATATGCTACAATTAATGAAAAATATATATTACAACTGTAAAAGTTTATTCATAAAAAGTATTTCTGAAATATAAGCAGTCTCAAAATTGTCAAAACTTCAAACTGTCATCTAAATAATATGTCATTCTGCCTTCATTGTTCAACAAACATTTATTAAATACTAATATCAGGCACTTAAGTCAGGATCCATTCAGAAGATGGAAACCACATCAGTACTTTAATGTTACAAAACTTTATTAATGGTGGTTACCCAAGTTAACTATGAAAAGCTGTGAAGAGGACTCTTAGAGTTCTAGAGTAGCAAATGAGAAAGCAGTTACTATGCGTAGGCTGAGAGACAGTTAACAAGGAAGAAACTAAGAATCCACAAAAGTTCCCTCTTTCTCAACCAAAAGCTGCTTAAGATCTCTGTGGAGAGAGTGTGGTTGCCAGAGGAACACACAGCCTGCTGCTTCCGGAGATGGATGCCAGAGGGTATAGATGGATACCCTCTGCTATGACCAGAGAGTATCCCCACAATGCCTTCTATTAACAAAGCCAGAGAAAGAAATGTTTAATGGAACCAGTTGCAGTGTCACAAAGCAAGACAAAGCAGGATTAACTTGAAGTTGAGAGACAATAATGGATAAACTGGTGCTGACTCTTAGGCTCACATATATAAGAATAGATAGAATTCTCTCCCTGTAAGGGTTTCATAAACTAATAGAATCACTATTGTAATCCTTATCCTTAATATCAAACACTTATTTGCATGTAATGTCACATGACCCATCTTCTGTTTGTCCAAAATGTATTTAGTCTATATAGCCTAAGAGATAAAACATTTACATATTTGTGTAAGACATTAAGACATACAGATAATAAATATCCATTTACTATGCAGTAAGTGCCAACCAAATGTGCGTCTACCAGATCTTTTATTTACCTCTGTTTTTATTTAGAAAAACAAAAGATAGATGAGTTTCAAATATTAAATCAAATTAACAGAAATTTATTCATGTTTTAGTAAGTCAGAAGCACTCTGAGGAATGAAAAAAGTAACAAAACAATTTTTGCTCTCATAGACTTTACCATTAATTTGGGAAAATAAAGAATACACATGAAAATATAAATGTAATTTAAAACCTCTAAGTAACTGGCAGACACTAATTATAAGAAATCTATGATAATTCACCAAAAGGATTTTCTGGATAATAATTGTGATAGGTGTTTCAAGAACAGATCATTTCAAGGTAGGAGATAGTCAGGACAAATTTTATAAGTATGTTTAGTTGAGCTAGAAGTGAAGAAGAATAGGATAGAAGATATTTACAGCATGGACCAAAAGTAGATTTATGGTTGTAAGTGTACAAAACACAGTTTAATCTTGTATTATTATTTGTTAATTATTGTATTACTTTCCATAAGAACAGCTGTAAACCTACTTTTGTCCCACCCTGTATGTTGACTTAAAACTAAGTTACCGAAACAAAAGATGACTGAGGAAATGAAATTAAACCCCTTAACCCCTTTCGTATTCTTTCCCAGGACATGACAATTTTCACTGGCCTTAATTAAGAAAGACTCAAATAATTTGATAGCCACCTTCCCCAAGTGCTCAGGTTATTATTACTGCATCAGAAGAGAGAGGTAAAGGTTGCCAGATATCTCAGGGGCTTGGAAGATAGATGTTTGGTTGTACACTGCACTGATAGAAAAACAAAGGAGGTTCATCTGTCAGTCAGTCACTATAACTTCATCAACCATTTTTTGCAAAATTATTCTGAATCAAGTAGATTAATAGACATAGGGTACACACATTTTAGGCTTAAAAAACCCAGACAATAAAAATCTATAAACACAGCAAGCTAAGACAACTCTTTATACTCCATTGAAAAGTTCTATGCCATGCTGTAGGTTTGTAGTTTTTTAAAAATATTCTGTGAAAGAATTGAAAAGTATAGAAGAATAAATCCCACATTTGCATCAATAAGACTTACCTGTACTGTTTAGTCCAATTATGGAAACATCTATTAGCAAAGGGTGTACCTTTCTTTAAGTAAGTACTTATTATTAAGGGATAATTTTCCAAAAAAGGGTAAAATCAAGATTCCCAATCAGATATGAAAATGAATGCATGTTAAATAACTCATTGATGAGGAAGTTGATGTTAAAACCAGTGTTAAAACCAGTTCAAAGGAGAATAAAAAAGATAGTTATAGATTAGGAATAAACTTGCCTTTTCCACAGTGGGGAAGGGAAGTCAGCTGAACTTCCACTAGACAGAATTTATATTCTATGTAATATAATTTATAATACATATTTACAGACGTATAGAATTCTTTTGCATTGCTATCAGTATCTACAGCTTACAGAGATGTAAAATAGCTTCCATAGAATTAGAAATAGATTAAAGCTGTAACAGGTGTGTTCAAACTTTTGGCGTCTCTGGGCCACACTAGAATAAGAAAAATTGTCTTGGGCCACACGTTAAATACTCAAACTTTAATGAAAACTGGTGACCAAAAAAAAGGTTTAAGTAACTTCATGATTCTGTATCAGGCCACATGTGGCCCACGGGCCACAGGCTGTACACCCCTGCTCAGTACCCCTAGTCTATAAACTATGGACTATAGACAATGCATAGTTTTTTATTGAAGCACAAGATTTTTTCCCTATAGTTGCCTTTATTTTAATAAAAATTCTCAAAGTAAGATAACTTTTAGTCACAAAATAATGACAGTCTAATCAGATTTGGTGTGATTATTTAAATAAGTGCAACCACTGGCTAGGCCTTCTTGAGTTTGCTTTGCTGAAAGATTTCTTAAAGAATCTCAGATTGGACTTGTAAAGCCCTTAATTATTTGCAATCCTGAGACTAGGAATTCAAAGGTAAAAAACTCTCTCCACCAGGTTTTACCTGCAGTTCCTGGAACAAGCATGTACGCCATTGGATTTCTCTGATACCATGTTCCTAAATATAGTACCAACCACTGATATTAATCATAACTTTTTATCAAAGTATTTTCTATTCTTTCTATTTTACAAAGAAAACTGAGGAGAAAGAGATATGTAATTATACTACTACACACCAGTAAAGTACAGACCAGGAGTACTCATTAACACACATAGGACAATTTCTACATCCACACACATCTCTTATACAACCTAAGTGGCAAAAATGAACACATTCTTTAATAGACCCAAAGATATAGTCTTTCTGCAGAGTAATAAAAAATAAGAACCAAAAGCATATAAAGTATGCTTATTTATCAGTGTTTCAGTATTATATTTTATTTAGAAATGATCTAAATATTTCATGACTATTCATGAATTAACCCAATATAATACAAGTCCACTGTTTTAAATCATATAAAGATGTTGGAAATTTATCATCAAGCTCACATACTATAAAACATAACCTGAAATAAAGTTTTCAGAATAATTATTCAAAATGATTAAAAACAAATTTATATTTTTCATGATCTTAAACATTAAGTAAGAGTAATACTAACTGATTGAATCTAACAACATAAATTTATGAAGAGCATATCAAAGTAAAATAAAAATGTATACTTGTATTACATTTAACACTGGTAAATCAGAAAAGACATACCTAAATTATATATTAGGGTGGCTAAAAAGTCCATATGGTTTTTTCCATAAAAGAAAAGACATATTTTTCATTTTCACCAATAACTTTGATACTTTGAGCATGTTAACTAAGTCCCACATGATATAATGTTGATTGTTTTCAATTAATGTCTCAATTTAATCTCTACCAACTTCAACTGGTCTACCTGATCTTGGAGTATTGTCCAGAGAGAAATCTCCAGCACCAAACGTTGTAAACCACTTCTGACATGTTAAGATTAGTCATAGCACCTTCTCCATACACTGCACAAATCTTTATTTGCATTTTTACCCTTCTTTAAATAATAAAGTGTAATATGCTGGAAATGTTGCTTATTTTCTTCCATCTTCAGTATTAAAATGGCTACACAAAAATTCACCTATTTTGATAAGTGTTCTTTTTAATGCATGGTGAAATGACAGCTGTTGCCATACAATCTAACAAAATTGTTTCAAATGAAGTTAAAGACAACTAAGCATTATGAGAGTCATCTTATGGAAAAAAAACAAACTTTTTGGGTAACCCAATACAAATTAACTTTTATTTTACATTTGATAAAGTTAAAATAGTTCCTTTGAACTAAGAGCAGGGAAAATATTTTTAATGATCTCTTACTTTTTAACTTTAAGTATTTTTAATTATAGTTGACATACAATATATTAGTTTCAGGTATACAACTCAATGATCAGACATTACATAGCTTACTAAGTGATCACCCTCATAAATTTACTACCCACCTGACACCATACATAGTTATTACACTATTATTTATTGATGTTATTCCCTATGGTGTACTTTATATCCCCATATAAAGTACTATAAATGTAGTACTTTTCTGTACTACATTCTGTACTACATATAGTCCTAGAATGTAGGACTATTCTGTAACTACACCTTTTTTTACCCAGTCTCCAACCATCCCTCACATCAGGCAACTGTCAAAATGTTTTCTGTATCTAAGAGTCTATATCTGTTCTGCTTGTTTGTTAATTTTCTTACCTACTCTTGTTTACCTAGCTTAGATTTATGTAACTTATCTAACTTAGTAAAGATCCACCTAACTTATGTAAACTTAAGTTACTAAAATATTTTTGAGTTAGGCTCTATAAGAATACCTTTCCCAGTCAAAATGGAGATGTTTTTAGTTTAATGGACTTTATAATCTAACTTATTAATACAATGTGGA